CCTGCGACCACGGAAATTGACCGAGTCAAGTGCTGGATTAGTACGGAGAGATTGAGACAGAAGGAGTTACTGGATAGAGAGACCGGGATGGTTTTTAATGTGGAGACAACATACATACCGAACACGGCCGTTTTTTTTTTTTTTGAAGATGCACGCTGTCGAGGAAAACTGTTACAACGTAGTCAGGCACAGTTTACCATAGGTGCGACTGCGGCAACTAGCCTTCCGTAGACATAATACAGAAAGAAGAGATGGTACTCAGCAGAGAACATGAGCACAGAGTTGTAGCGGAGATAATTTGGCAGGCGAGACTGTAGTTGTTTTATTGTTCCGAACCCCGAAATTCCGGTACTCGGGCCATTACTCCGGAGACCCTCGGAACCTGCTGTGTTTTTGCTGCTTGTTTCTTGTTTTTGTTTTGTTGTTGAGATGAGACACAAGCGCGCCTTCGCCCCTTGTGCTCACTCTCATCTAGCACCCATCAAAGCCTGACCAGGGAGTCAGTTGATAAGAACATCTATCTGCATTTCTCTTTCCAAAGCTCGCTCGGGCCTACCGATCTCACAGCAGTGTAGACCAACCTCTGTGATAGAGCGGTGACAGCAGTGTAACCTCTGTGGTAGACTACAAAGTCTACGAGCTACAGCAGCACCGCCACCTCCGCTGCTGCAAGACGCCACATTCTGTGACACGCGATAAATGGTGCTCGCTGCTGTGGGTGGAAAGTGACAGTCCCGTTGACAACTTGCACAGCATAACAGGGTTCGGCCGTGCTGCTACAGGGCGGAGGAGGTGTCCGCCGGTCCGATTTTGCTCGCCGCGATTTCACCGGTGGCCCTGGCCACGGAGCCTCGTCCGCACGGAGCCGCCCATCATCCGTCGGCGGCCGCACTCGCTCCCGGCCACGCGTAAACCCAACGCGAGGAAAGGGTTTGTCAGAGGAGCGTTGGCGGGCCCCCCGCCGGAAAATTGCATCCTGGCGGGGCCGACGAACCCATAGGCGTAAACACTCATGACGTTCGCAGCGACCCCGCGGGCAGTCTTCTCGCCGGGGCCCACTGCTGTCTTCTTGGAGGACTCGCCGCCGAGCATGTTGGCCTGTGTTCGAGCAAAGACAGCAAGCGAATGTCTCCTGATGTAGTAAGGCGACGCGCACACTATATAGTACATGGGAGAGAAAACACAGGAACATGGACGATAGAAAATGTGGTTATGGCGTACAGGCAGGAAGTGTTTGCGCGTGAAGTTTGGGTGGCAAAGTTTCGTCAAATAACACATGGACCGGTGCGAGTAATGCCGACGCCTCCCGTGGGCACAGGGCAACCAGCCCCAGAAGCCGTACACACCTATTAATCAGCGAAGAGGAACATCAAATGCGAGATAAAATGGCAAAATGACAAATCGGGGGTTGAAATCGGCAAAAAAACGAAGAGAAAACAGGAAGAACCTCACTCAGAAATAAAGACGCAGAGCCTATGCCTCCTGCTCTCAACCCGATGCCAAGGCTACGCAACGATAAATCAGTTACCTCATCCTAGACCACTGCAACTAGGCTCGCGGCCGAAGTCCAAGCATTCCCCACAGATACACAAACAAAAAAACCAATCGGTGGTGATTCTAAGATCAGTCCACCAGCGCGTGCATCCTCCACTTCCACTCGAACAAGAAAAAAAAACAAGAAAAATACAATACGTTTTACTACCCTTCTTCTCATGATAAAAGAAACCACTCACCACGTCGGGGCTGATGAGCTGCAGCAAAAGGCCCAACAGCGCGGCCTTCGCCGCCTTGGGCACCAGCGCAGTGTCAAGCGCGTCGAAGAGGTTTTGTCCGAACATCTCCATGTTGATGGTTGATTCCCCGCCAATGCCCGTCTCGTGGCACTCCTCGCTGTTGTGGCGCTCTTGAACAGAGCGCTTACCCAGGGGGCGGAAGGTCGTGGTGCTCGCCCCGGTCGAAGTGGAACCACCGCCCGTGGGACCACCGGACCTGGTACCGCCACTGTGTGATGTACCAGAAGCTGAACTCTCGTTGCCGTTGATGCCAGTCGACACACGTCTGGATTTAGCCTGGTGTCTTTCTGCGCTCTGATCCGATGACACACCTACCCGCCACCTTCCGAAGAACCAGCGCCAGGCCACCTGGAGGGGGCACCGCCCGAGGCACTGCCAGAGCCGCGGCCGCCGAGTAGACCGGATAGTCGACCACCGCCGCCCACGGATGACGCGCGGCCGCGACCGTCCGAAGCACCAGCGCCAGGCTTGCCGGATGTGCCACCGCCCGAGGCCCTGCTGTGTCCGCGGCCGGCTAGAAGACTGGGTTGACCAGGCAAAACCTGAACACCTTCCCCGGTGATCCTGGTTTCCGTAGTTTTTGGTGTACTACCCTGAGGTTCAGCAATCCTGTCGCTGCATGGTAACGCATTCTGGCGTTTGTTTGCAGATCGTTCAATATTTGCTCTTCACGTGCGCAACTCCACTGTCATAAAACCCTAACCCAACGGCGAAATCCCAACATAAATACTACAATATTAACTCTATTTACAGACAAGGTCTTGCTCTCTCGGCCTCTCACAGAGCCACGTCTCCGTCTGTCCGCGATGTCCTGGAAATTTACCGCGCTTTATGTGGTCGTGTCATTCCGCCCCTTCGTCTGTATGTACGTGTTGTCGCTCTTCGTCTGCCTTCACTGTTGAACGTTGTGAGGTAGACTCAAATGACCCATGTGCTGTTTCGTCCTCTCTGCATCCACTGCCACAGCCATATTCGTGAAAGCAGTCGTCTCGGGCGAGGTCGGAACTACACGCAGAGATCCGCAACGCCATCGCCGAATTCCTCATCCCTCTCATGGAAGAGGAGGCATCCACGAACAACCCGATGACCGGCGCGGACCTCCTCCGTGGCGTCCGCGAGCGGATAATGGACGTCGACCCCGAGTCGGAGGTAAACGACTCAAAAACGAGCCTACCAAAATCTTCTGGTCAGCGCGCAACGCTCTCCTACGTCCCGTACATAACTAACCCCTTTTCCTTACTATTTGTGTGAACTCGGCCTTCCCAGGAACTGACCGGCCTGATGTCCCGCATCGTGTGGCGCTTTACCAAGGCGCACCAAGCTTCCACTCGCAAGGACCTCACCTTGGGGTACCTCTTGGGACCGGAGAGACTGAAGGAAGACTGCCTTTGACAGGTGACGAAATTGTTGCGTGCACTCCTACTTGTCTGTAGACCTAGCGCCCATTTATTTGTTAACGCGACGCAGGCTGCTAGCATGTGCCTGCAACCCGAACAGGTCATCGTATTCCAGGACTAGAGCCCACATTATATGCCTCCGGTAGCGCGGGCGAGCGGTAGCAAGTTGAAGGACTTCCCATGGCATTTTTTTTGTGGGCTCTGGTTTCGTCTTTCCCCTCGTCCTCTTGATGACACCCTTCTTTTGTCTTCCCCCTCATCCTCTTGATGACCCTCAATTGCACATCAGGTTGTCACTCCCGCATTGCTGCACGCAGCTAACGACATCGCGGCCCTTCCGGTCAACGAGATCGGCACCCACGAGACAATTGTCTGCAAGGTCACCCGGAAGTCGAGAGCCTGGATCAAGCTATCTGCCGGCGGCTTTGGTTCCGCCAACGCCCGGGCCATCCAAGAGAGGTAAGCGATGATCCCAATGACCTGCATTCCCGGAGTTACAGTAGTAATCGACTTCGTAAGTCGCGAGGGAAGGGATTGCTGTACCCTTCTCGCGATAAAAATACCTCAGGCATGAACCGCAGGAGGGGGTCCAACCCCCCCCTCCTATGTGACCCCGGTTGGGTCGTCTAGCTAGTAGAAGTGGAGGATAGGGGCCAGAGGGGCAGTCGACAGTCCAATGATGGGAGAAAAAAAAAACAATAGTAGTAGGGTACTTAGCGTCTCCCACAGAAAAGATAGATAAGAGTTAACCTCCGTTATGGTTGCGACAATAATATTTTCTATCCGTACCATTCGTGTTGTGGATGGCGGTCTTCATATTAGAAGAAACTCTTACTCTTCATGATGGCTGTTGATGACCATGTGTAGCACACATGTGGAGCGACAAACAACTGATCCGAATCGGTGCGCACCCCCCCTCTTCCTCACGACGGCCCGGCCCAGCCTATGGTACAACTTGTTCCAGTTCATGACTGGACCGCGACGCTGCACGGCGGCGATCCTTACCATCCCCAGCTCCGACTTCCACAAGCCGGAGATCATGCGCTTCCTCGCCCCCTACTACGTCGAGAAGGACAGCCTCGTTGTGCCGGAGACCCTGGCGGCAGACGTTTACGTCCAGGATGATGATCTTGAAGCAACAGGGTTTTCGCACGATTGAGAGCGAAGTTTCCGATTGAGAGCGAGAACCAGAAAAATTCGAAATTAGGGTCCAGACGCCTCCCGTCCCGTCATTTCTCGGGAAGCAGGGGACGGGCTCTTCCAAAAAGCGGCGCAAATTGAAGCTCTCTTCAGCAGCTTCGCGTGCATATGCGTGTCACT